TTTCTGAAGGCTTTGTCCTTTCCACCTTGCACATTTGCCTCCTGGACCACAGGCTATCTCAATGCACAGTAATGAGTTACAGCCTGCTGACAGAGGCTTTCTTGGTGCTTGCTATCGCTAAATTCTGAAAAATGTTGTGTCACATCCTGTGATGACTTCTTCTTAATGACAGACACCACATTAAATATTAAATATTCCTTTTTTCATGATTGTCCACTTAGCATCACTTAGAATCATAGAACATTCAATATCTTTAAAAAAGTGAATCAAATGAAGGCTTTGCAATTATAGAACATCTTCCCAACACCAGAGTGCTCTACCAAAGACCCTGAAACATCATCCCAGATGGCAAAACTGAAAGATGCAGAGGCAAGGAAAAGACAGCAGCCCTTACTCTTACCCCTGCTCTCTGCTTCATTTATGGTGAAAAAGTGAGAAATGATCTACAAGGAATTCTGATGGGATAACTACTAAAAATGCTGACTTACAAAAGGCAACGCTACTGAATTTTGGTTTTTACCTTGTAACTTTAATCACCTCAATTTTTCTTGAAATCTAGTAGGTGTTTCTTTCCTTCATAGTGATTAAGAGGGAGCACTGCACAGCATGCCAGAGAGCAGAAGGAGAAAAAAGGACAGGTCAGGAACTCCAGCCTGCAGGTGCACACATACTTCTGTTCATCAAGACACCCGCTGTTAGGGAGGTCCCAGCACACGCACACATCTCTCTATTAGTTCTCATCAGCGTTTCTGGTGTTACAAAAAGGGTTTGCTTACACATACATTATCAACAAGCAAAAAATAAAGCAAGATACCACAAAGAGCGGAACAAGCAGGCGTTAATGTCTGAAGAGAAGTGAAATGTTACTGCACATTTTAGAAACCCCCCAGATACATATCTAACCATGTAGTGATCACAGTGGCTTCCACATCACTCACATGTCACCTGGGCAAAATAATCTGCAGTCGCTTTAAAAGCATGGAATATTTCTGGGATGAAAACCAGAGCCCATCTTTAATTCCTCCGAGACTTGGGAGAAAATCAAGTCCAATTAGTCATGAAAAGACAAACTAGAACTGCAGTAACGGGGCACCCTAATTTCATCACGATAGCTAGAGAGTACATGCTTATATGAAAATTCAAGAATCTATCTTAAATACATTAGACAACCAGCTGACTTTGACATGATTGAGTCTAGTAATATTGGTTACAGCTTTGCTTCAGCATTTTCTAAACACTATAATCTAATTAATCACCTGTAATTGAGAGGAGTACCTCTTAATCTTTAAGTAACTCGGAGTGTTCCACAGGATGATTTTTGCTGGCCTCACTTTATTTAGTTTTGACCGAAAAATTAGTAGTGATGTTTGAACAAGCTGAGCTGTCAAAGCATGTGACTGTCTTCCCTGGTTAACAGTCACTGTTATAAAGAAAACCTGATTTAGCAGATTATTTTGGGATGCCACAGTCTACCATGTAAAGAAACTGGGAAAAAAAATCTGTACTGTCTTAGAAAACACAGCTATGAAGACTATAAAGTAACTGTTGACAGTTAATAAACCTGTGCTCACTCATGACAGTAAAACATCAGAACTTTCAAAGAATTTATAACTTACATATTTTATACCAGAACACGTCATGTTTTATGATCTAGTGAGGCTATTTAATTAAAAATGAAAAATAGCCCCTCTGCAAAGCACCATCTGAGGATCTGAGTGAAGGGTTCTTTCCATTCATCCATTCATCTCTTTTGCTTTTCTTATTATTGTCATGTTTCTTGTTTCTTTGTTTTTTAATGAAACCTATACAGTAAGATACAGTTATATGCAAGAAAACTGTATTTATAGTATACATCAGCAAACCCAACAGCCACTCCACAGTAATACTTAGCCAGATATGACTTGACAAGTAACTGGAGAGCTTCATTTATAGCATTTCACTGTAAAGTAAATCAGTCACCAGGGAACAAAATGTACTTTCCAATGCATATAGGCACATACGCTATTATTACCCTTTGCGATACTGTTTTGAAGCAAGTAATTCCGTAACCTCTCAACACAAAGAACACCACTCTTCCCTTCCGCTTCAGTGACCAACAGCTCTCTCTAGAAATTCCCCACTGGGGAACAGAGGTGACACGGTTGAAGAGAGCAGTCATTCCAGAAATATGGCAACCACATCAAGCTACTCCTCTTACAGGGATAGCCCAGCCTTGTTAAATAATATCAAACAAGTATGTTGACAAAGACGTGCTTTTCTATTAGGCATCCCCACTTGCTAACAAATGGCTATAAACAGGTTCACTGCTAATGGACAACAGTAAGTTTCTCCATGAAAGTCACATGAATGGCTATGTTGGAGACTAAAAGCCACACCACTACTTTTTTCCCCCCAAACATTACATTATTTTTAAATAAAAAACTACAATACCACATAACAGAACACTTAAATGCTACAAAAGTGGTTTGTCTTTCAACTAAGTCCATTTAAAAATCAAGATGTATTCTCTCTTGCACTTCAACACATTAAAAACTGGTAGTTAGCATGATATATAAGGAACATGTCGAGTTTTTTGTTTGTTTTTATATTCTGCCTTGTGATGAACTACTAGGAGATGTTAGGGAAGGTTATGCTATAGCTCTTTTCTAAAAGTTTAGATACTGTCTGTCACTCCTACTGAGATCCTACCAGCTCTACTACCTAAAGTGTACTTGTTTGGGTAAAACTTCTACACCCCACAAAGGGGTAAAAAATCAGGAAAAAATCCCAGGTCCTGAAAGTATAAAAGCAAGCTGACCAACCCTAATTCCTAAGCCAGAACTCAGTCTATGTTATTTCTTGTTCTGGTTGCAATGGGTCGCAGTCATCACTGATGTGTAACTTTCGCCTCAACGGCCCAAAGCTGCAGGCAGCACAGAAGCAAAGGAAGCCCGGCTGAGTAAGCCGTGATACAACATAGCTGTGCTCCTCAACTCCTTCTAAAAGATGGAAAACAAATGAACATTCTTCTATTAACAAAACTGCTTCTTTCAAGTTTGTCAGTCCCAGGAGCGCTGCAGGAATAGATGCAAGAACACCTCCACAGGTACTTCACTGATGGGCATTTTCACGTTTATATTTACACATCAGCTTCTAAACGGATTTTGGCACATTCTCAAAGTTGAGTTTATCTGGGACACCAGGATAGAATCATAGAATGGTTTGGGTTGGAAGGGACCTTAAAGATCATCTGGTTCCAACCCCCCTGCCATGAGCAGGGACATCTTCCACCAGACCAGGGTGCTCAGAGCTCCATCCAACCTGGCCTTGAACCCTGCCAGGGAGGGGGCAGCCACAGCTTCTCTGGGCAACCTGTGCCAGTGTTTCACCACCCTCAGGGTGAACAATTTCTTCCTAATATCTAATCTAAATCTGCCCTCTTTTAGTTTATAGCCGTTCCCCCTTGTCCTATCCCTGCACACCCTTGTGAGAAGCCCCTCTCCATCCTTCCTGTAGGCCCCTTCAGGCACTGGCAGCTGCTCTAAGGTCACCCCAGAGTCTTCTCTTCTCCAGGCTTGCGGGTGGGAGACCCGCCTTGGCCAGATCCCAGGCAAAGGCATTTATACCACAGAGTTTAAGCACCTAGATGAAGAGCTGAAGTCAGGGAATAGTCTAAGTTCCCTCTAGGGCTGATAAAGACACAGAGGAAATTATCAAAAAGCAAGGTCAAAAGGAGGAGCTTAATGGCAGCACTGCAAATATGCTTTCCTCTCTGATTAAACATACGGGCAAGCCACCCCTCTGAGTCCTGCACCTCTCACCAGAACCAGAAGTCACTCCACTTTGGTTGCCCAGATGTCATTCTAGGATAGCGCTGCTGATTTCCAGGGAAATGATCTGGACTTGCAGGGGTGAAATAAGTGATCATCTACAGCACAAATCTCAGGAGTGCTACAGAAACGGGCACAAAACCTCCAAACCCTCCAGAGCTTCTCTGCTGCACTCGTGAAAGGGGAGCGCAGCTTTCCACAATCAAGAGAACTGCTCCTGTTACTTCAGTGGGCTCCTCAGTAATTCGAGGGGGGGGCAGGAATGGGGAAAAACCAAAATAATTCAAAGCCACAGCTGACTGCTTCTTCCAGTTGAAATGCTCTGTATGTGGAGTCAGTCTGTATACCATCTTCACTAGGAAAAGGCTGCAAATACTATGGAAGCCCATTTTAAAAACTGAATTTTACTAACAAGAGGAGATCTTACAGTAAGGTAGGGGCCTGCTTTCCGCTAAGTCTCAGCCAGTATAAATGCAAAATTAGGCACTGGCTTTCAGTGCAACTCACAGTTCAGTGGCTCTTAACATCAGCTGCGATTAAGCACACTTTTTAATTTCTGTCAACCAAATTCCAAGGCAATAAAACTGACAACTCCCATTGGAGGGTCTTTTTGTCACAGCAGTGCTGCTGGGCGATGATGCAAGGTTATTAGGTAGCTGTACATTTTCAAGCATGGATGGCATTCCAGAGCAGAGCACAAAAACTTGAAAGAAATTCACCAAACCCTTTAAGCCTCTTGATTTTTTTCCTCCTTTTAATATATGTTGGATGCTGGAAGCCTTTGACTGTTCCCACTTGAGGAGGAAAACTTCTTCTCTCCACACTTCAGCTAATGCAGATCCAGGCTAACGAGTCAGCAGAACTAACTCGGAGTGAAACTCATCAGTGAGATGAGGAACAGCTTATAATTTCTGTTAAATACTTAAATCGTTTTTCCTTTAAATCCTGACGTACATTCTGTATTCATTGCCTGAATAAATTCCACCTTTTAAAAAAGATTGATGGTGAAAGGAAAAAAGGTTGAAGGGCTTTTGAGAAGCTAATAAGCTATTTTATTCATGTCCCAGATTGGAGGGCAGATGTTAAGTTCATACTTAACCTGCCCTGCTGACCCGTTACCCAGATTCAACTCCTCTCAAAGGGAAAGCCAGCAGTATCGCTTGAAACACAGCTGTAGAATATTTCAGATACCTCTTTTAGCTCGCTGTGTTTGGGGCAGGGAACAGTCCCCGCCTCCGTGCCCTTCGGAAAGTGACCTTCTTTTCTTTTTCCAGAATCGGATGGGCCATCAGCAGTCATCTCCATCTCATCCATTTGGTTCTCCTCTTCCTCAAAAACACAGCAAGTGGTTTCTTTCAGTTGAAACCCTCGGATCAACAGCTGACAGGCCTCCAAGTCAGCTTCCCACACTCTTTGGAGCAGCTGGCTCCCGCAGCTGAAATAAAAGCCAGAAGAAAATAAAACTGCAGTTCAGGGAGAATAGTTGCTATTTCAAGTAACTTTTGGGGTGATTACTTATTATTAGATAGGAAAAGAAAAATAACAAAAACCCAACAGCAGTTCAAATATTTCCACCGAGATAACAGAAGCTATTTCAGATGGAAAAGCAGTAAAATGACGGCCCTATTACAAAGCCGATGTCACAAAAAAACCTTTGTGCTAAGATGTTGCTTCCAGCTGTATGGTGTACGCTGGCTACGGGCGGCCTTCTCCCGGCCAGACGCAAGTCCAGGGGTCTTACGATCACAACCAGAGCTTCCTTCACGCTATTGGACACGCAGGCCTGTCATCCTAAAGGCACTCGTGGTTCTCCTGAATTTGATGTAGACAATCACGTATAAGCAATCACACTATTTACTGTATTGACTCAGCTCTAATTTTTGGAAACAAGGTACACCAAATTTCTTGCTAGCCCACCAAAGAAAAAACGGAAGTATTCGGAAATTCAAAATACTAAACTTCTTCATACTTTTAATCCATTAATCATCTCTCAGAGATGTCCACGTACCTTACAAATACTGCTCCTGAGATCTGTCCAACAGATATTTTCACCTGAAGTAAACAGGAATTCTAGGCATAGTTTTCCAGAACAAGACACTGGCTGCCAACATCACACTGCTCGTAAAAGATGTGGTCCCATCTCCATTTAATTCTCGAAGGAACCAAAAGATTAGGTTGCCTGCTAAAATACAGTAGATTTGTGGCAGAGCCTGGGAGGGGACTCGGAAGCGCCGATTCCCATGGCTATGCACACTTCCAGACAGGTTTGAATTCCAATAGCTAATAACCACAATATTTTTTTCACAGTGCTTTTCAAATTACATCATTTGCTATATAATAGTAAGCAATTATCAGTGACTAAAAGAAGGAAAACAACTCTTTGATTTTAACTTTTCTGACTAAATTAAATACCCGCTTATCTTTTACTCTAAAGGAAGGATAAAGGAGCTGCACTGCTCACAATGAATCCATTAATCTAACAAAGGTATGTTTCTAACTCTACAAACTCTACAAGATGCCAAGCTGTAAAATTCACACAGCAATATTTTGAGACCGAGAGCAAAATTAAGCTCCAGAAGCTGAGCTACTTGATCTGTGCTTAGAGTCAGTATGTCTATCGCAGGCAGAATGCAGCATGAGGTCCACAAATTGGTCTCCCTCAAGGAGTTCAGAGTACCACTAATTAGAAAGGGAAAAAAATCTTCACTGGATTACACTTCTGTGTTCCATCCAGGTAGCATTTCACTTACCAAGCCAGAAATATAAACCAAGCCCCACCGTTTCTCTACTTGTCAGTCACACCATCACGGTTACACAGTCAAAACATTTCCTTGCAGACATACATAAGCCTATTTTCTTGCTTTTTGAAAAAGTGGGTTTGCAGCTATAGATGGCTTATTATTAAAGGCTCAGAAAATACACTAGAGACCAAAACCAGAACTTCCAGCAGATAGCCTGTTTTGGCTATCCAATTTAATGCAGAGCTCTATTGACAAAACTAGGGCAGAGATAGTGATGTATGTCGTGATCACAGCGGAGAAGATGAACAGCATATATAAAAGTAGAGCACAACGGTGCCTGGGCTGCTGTTATTCGGCCACGACTCCGCTCATCAATCAACACACTTTTGTTTGCGTCTAACTTACACCCGTTTTAGCAATCAACAATTACTGACCATGCCGCTAATAGATTGCTTTTATTTTAAGGACATCTTTGTTTTATCATTGTGTCTGTAAAATGCTGATACTTCTTGAACAAAGATAGTAAGATGTTACACTGGACTTCTCAACTGAAACCAGTGAAAGCACACATACTTGGACATTCTGAACACACGTAAGCCCAAGGACTCTGCATCTTTTAGTCTGTATTTTGAAATTCAGTGCTTAAAAGCATTTTTCAAATACACTATTTTAATGAAAGCTGAAAATAGCTGACAAAGAAACACATACCAAATAATTATTAAAAACTGTGTTGTCCCCAGCATGCAAAAATCTTTAGCTTTTGCATCAGGTGCAAAACCAAACTCACCTGAATTTCAGAGTTTAGTTTATTCGTGTCCAGTCCACACTAAAAGTACATTTGCAGTCTCCATGAAACTGAAGGTATGTGGATGCTTGTACTGAACACAGGGAGGTTTTTCAGGTATGCAACTTTTCAAAATGAGGAATCAAGATTGGATCAGATTTTATATTACTCCTATACTAACAAATATTTTATGACGTCTCAACCTCTAGGTGCTGTACGCCTCTCTGTACATTACTATCAAAGTGGTATGTGTGGCAAGTTCAATGGAGGTGCCAGGAACAATTTGCTGAAATCCACAACTAATCACAAGCCATCAACCATTTATACAGACCCAGCAACTACAGAGCGTGCCTTAGTCACCTACAGACTGTGAACTTCCAAGTGCCAGAGTGCTTGTGAGTCCAAAGCACCAGGCTTTGTACAAAAACCAAACAATCACAACGACGGCTCTTTCCTCAGAAAGCTTTTTAAATTTAAAACCAGCAACAAGAGCTAGGATGCAGACGGGGATGTTCAAAGGAACACTAAGACAACAGCAAACTGAACATGGCACGTTAGTTACAGTACAACAGTTTTATTAGTTACATCAGTAATTAATTAGTCTAATCACTGTCAAGCCCACTGAGGTATCACAGTGAATGAGTATTTTAAGCACTTGCAGGAGGCCAACGAAACAGGTCAGTGGATATCTAAGATCTCTGTCCCTCCATGAAAGAATCATGTAAGCAAGGTAAAAGATGCTAGTATAAAAACATAACGGGCAAGTGACTGATACCAATGTGGTTTAATATCTGTAGATGGAAGTCAGCCTTTTAATATCAAAAAAAAAACCCACACTGAGTAGGTGGTAAAAGATTATGAAGAGCCTTGACATTGAAGGTTAGTAGTTATGTTTGATGTGACAGGACAGAGGGAACCAAAGGAGAAAAGCAAATAAAGTTAAATTATCCGAAACATAGAATTAAAAATTAAAAAAAAGGGAAAAAAAGAGAGAGAAAGAACAGTCATTGCAGTGGCAACAGCACTTTGAATGGATGAGCGTAGGGCAAGACTGCTTTCGTCTTCATGGGCAGGGAAATGGATGTTGAAGTGAGATGCAAGACAGCCCGAGTAATTTCTTAGCTGGATGGAGAGCTGGGATAGGTCTTATCTCAAGGATAGCTTGCAGAAAGAATCTACAAAAACAGGTCTAAGCTGACTTGAAGAATGGCTGAGGCATCCACAGCAACACAAAAGGACACAGCAGGGAGAATTCTGGATTACGTCAAGTTGATGATGATGAAAGAGCTGTCAGAAAAACAGAGCTGTTTATGGACAGGAGGAAATGAATGTGGAACAGAGAGGTTTATCCTTGAGTTCTCTTCATAAAGTGGCAATTGAAATTGTAATTGAAGGTGCCTTTATCGAGTCTCAAATAATTTTCTAGGAAACGACACTGGAGACCAGAGAGTACAAGGAAACTAGAGGATATCTTCAGTCTACACATGACACTGGGTGAAACTCATGTTGAGAGTCATATTCAGCAAGGATTCTCTCTCTCTTCCTTGAAGTTCCAAAGAACATTGCTCCTTTGTCTTTTCACAAGATTTCCAGAGATATCAATAGGGGCTCTCTATGTGGCTCTCAGCACATTATTCTAAAGCTATTTTTAGTGCTAACTGGAACGACGAGAACACGACTTTCGTATTGAGGACTCTGCATACATACAAAAGGCACATTCAGTTCCTGCACATTACAGCCTAAATGAAAACATGCCCATGTAAAAATAGCCCAAAGATTTTATAATAAAACCTATTTAAACAAAAAACAAAAAACAAAAAACAAAAAACAAAAAACAAAAAACAAAAAACAACACCAACCAAAAAAAAACCCCACAAAACAAAACGAAGTCCCCCAAAATCTCCTCAAAAAGCCAATCGGAATCAACTTGAGGGGATGCTGCTAGTTGAAATCTCATCATCTCTAGTTTTTAGGAATGCCCCTTGGTGAGTGAATTGTTAGAAGTGGTTTATAGCACCCTGAGGTCAACACTGTGTGTAGATTGAAGACGTTACTTATTTTAAGAGAAATCCCTGTAAGACATCTTGAAAGCCAAGAGAGTGAGACTGAAGCCAAAAGGCGACATAGCAAGACATCTATTTCGAAACTGCATAAACAAAAGCTAACTTATAAGGGGAGATTAACCATTACTTAGAAGAAATACTCTAGACAACTTCCTTCTAACAGGCGAGCCACACTAAGGTACAGATTCAGGAGAGCACGTACTTACCTTTTCCCGGGACCTAGCACACATGTTAACACTGCATTCACTGACCCTAAAGGCAGTTTTCTCTGACAAGAAAGCAAACAAAACACAACAAAAATAGTGTGCCAGAAATAACAGGGATTTTCATTACAACAGTTAAAATGACTGGAAAGTTTTGAGGCTTGCAGAAAACAGCAATGCGAATCCAAAGACTTTGCTCTATATCCCCATTCTTTGTTGATCTTTTGTACAAACTAGGGAAAGTTTCTCTATATTTTGGTCACTCGCTCCTATTTATATTTTGCACCATAGGGAAGGAACTAGCTCTTCTTATTCTACATTTAGTTATGTCTTTGTTGCCTTTTCTTAAGGCAACAGCCATGCAGTGAACAAAGGAGGTGAGTAAAACAAAGTATGGACTAATCATACTTAGAAGAAGGAAGGCAACCATATTGCTTTACTGTCAGCAGAAATCCACCCCTTTGATTTGATACATCACATTAATTCACACTCATGCACTAACAGCCCTTCTTATATTTAATAAGTATTTACTATTCAGGAATGTATTTTGCTTCTCTCCTTCCAGCCCGATCTGTTCTTGATCTTTAACCTTAACCGTTATATTTCAAGACGCCTACAACTGATTTGTTCAACAAACCAAGGAC